AGTGAGAAACCACCCCCCAGGGGGAATGGCTATGCTACAATTCCTTCTCTTCCAGTCTCCTCTTGGGCTTTTGGGCATGCACTTAACATGCGTCTCGTGTGAGTTTTGACCTGCCAGGTCCAGGACTCAAACCATGGTCAACTACGTGGTAGTCCAGCGACATAACCATTACACCATCTGCTGGTCCCATAAAAGCTCTTCTAAGCACTTTGGAAACATGGATTGATTGAATCCTTTCACACCACCGCATAGGCACCATTATTACCCTGTGATACAGATGAGCAGGCTGAGGTAGGTGGAAGACTAAGTGCAGGTAGAAAGCGAGGCTATATGGGGCGAGTCTGCACGTTGTGGCCCTGTGTTTTCCTGCCTTTCAGGGCATACCAGGTGGAAAGGCCTGAGGTTGGAACACGCTTGGAATTTTGGAAGGATGGCAACAAGACCAGTGTTTAGTAACGAGGACGAGAGTTCACAACTGAGTCTATAAAGGCAGGCGAAGGCAAGGGCCTAAAGGATGTTTCAGGCTGGGCTCATGAGTGAGGTACAGATTATTCTCATTGCTGGAGGCTTTCAGCAGCAATGATGTGAACTGCTTTAGTTTTTAAAAAAATTCTTTGACTCTGAGTAGAGGAGGAATTCTGAAAGGATGAAATAGAAAGTAAATAAAAAGCAATACTCATGAATAATTCTGTTTCCCATGGATATATATTTTTAAAAGTTTTGTTAGTTTATATAGGCCTCCTGGATATTCTCTGTTATATTAACTAATGGAATGTTTTACATTTTTCTTTCTTTCTTTCTTCCTTCCTTTCTTTCTTTCTTTTTTTTTTTTTTTAAAGAGTCAAACAGAAGGCAATCATATGCACAGAAGTCAGTCTTGTTTTTCTAACAGCTTTATTTTTTTAGTTTTCTTTTTTCCAATGTTTAATTACTATACATCTTTATAGCATACAAAGTGAACTTTCCCAGCATAAATATATTGTGTATTAGTCCAAAGATATTACCATATACATCATCAACAGATAATTTTCTACATTGTGTCCATTACATATTTTGCTTCTTTTTCCCTTGATTCCCTCCCTCCTGTCTGCCATTGTCCACCCTCCTCTCACACTGTCTCTAGTATCCACAGCTGCCCTCCTTGTCCACTACCTTCTGATCTTTCAGTTTCTGCCACAGAGTGCAGAACTCTCTCTCTGTGTGTGTGCGTGTGTGTGTGCGTGTGTATTTTATTATATATTTTAGAGAGATTTTGGCTACAGGGTACATGCACTTGCCAGACACACACACACACACACACACACACACACACACACACAGAAGAGAGAGAGAGAGAGAGAGAGAGAAAGAAAGACAAAGTGAGGAATCACCTACTGGGGGTATGGCCCTGCTGCAATCCCTTCTCTTCCATTTTCATTCTCAAGATTTGGGGCATGCACACACACGTGTCCGGTGTCAGTTTCAAGTCACTGGGTCCAGGACTTGAACTGTTTTTGGCCATGTGGGAATCCAGCGCCACAACCACTATGCACCTTCTGGCCCTCAGTATATATCAAGTAGGGACATACGATGCCTCTTCTTCATAGTCTGGCTTGCTTAACTTAACATTAAATCTTCCATAGTCATCCTCTTTATAGCAAATTACAGGGACTCTTTTATTTATTTATTTTTTTTAATGGCCGAGTAGCATTCCATAGGGTATGTGTCCCACATTTTTTTCAATCCATTCATCTGTTCTTGGACATTTGGGTTGATTCTATGTCTTAACAATTATTAATACTGTCACAACAAACATGGATGTGCAAATGTTTTCTGGCTGAGTGTATTCCTATCCTTTGGGTAGATGCCCAGGAGTGGAATTGCTGGATCATATGATTGTTCTACTTGTAGGTTCCTGAGGAATCTCCATATTGTTCTCCACAGTGGCTGTACTAATTTACATTTTCACCGGTAGTGTTCTAACAGCATTGCTGAGCCATAATTTCCATACCATGAACTTTACCAATCTAAGTGAGTAATATACTCTTAGTGTATTTACAGGATTGTGACTGTGCAAGACAACACGCATCCTCATCAAGGACATTCCTATCACGCCAAGGAGAAACTTCATCTCCATGAGGAGTCACTCTTCATTCCCACCTCCAGCCACAGGCCACAGCTAATCTATTTTCTGTCTGTATCTGCCTTTTCTGGACACTGGATATAATTGGAACCACATAGTATGTGGTCATGTCCCTTTTGTCCCTTCATGTCCCTTTTACTTAGCATAATGTATTTGAAGTCCATTCACATTTTAGTATGCGTCACCACCACGTTGCTTTCTATTGCTGAAGAGTATTTCGCTGTATGGATATACTACATTTTTACTTATTACTCATCATTTGATGGACACGTGTTATTTCCATTTTTGGCTTCTTTCAACAGCCTGTATAAGTCTTTGTGTGGACATACATTTTAATTTCTTTTGGGTACAGATTTTTTGTTTGAAAGGAGTGGGATGCTGTTTTTATTTTTTTTTTTGGTAAATCTATGTTTATGTTCATTTTAAAAGTCTTAGAATAAAACCTAGACAATGTACATAATCAGTTTATTTTGATAAATTTCTATGTTTTAATAACTTAGATTATTCTGCTATTAAATGTAACTTTGTAAATTTAGCTTTTAGTATATACTTGAAATTTTAACATATTTAAATAAGAAATACCTTTGCATTTCATAATGTTAAAAATTGAGAAGTAATTTCTCCCTGCTTATAGTTTTTTTTTTTATTTAATAGGGTATGTACACTTGCTGTAGAGAGACAGAAGAGAAAGAGATGGAGGGAAAACGAGAAAGCACCCCTTAGCTTAGGGAAGATGGCCATGCCATAATCCCTTCTCTGTTTTCCTCTTGGGGTTTTTTGGTATGCACAATTGTTAAGACATAGAATCAACCCAAATGTCCAAGAACAGATGAATGGATTGAAAAAATTTGTGTTTCTCAAGCCACTGGGTCCAGGACTCAACCACGTAGTCAGCCACATGGGATTCAGCCACATGAGATCTAGTCATCTTAATGAGGACACCACCGGCTGGTCCTCTGTTCATAGATATTTTTTTCTTAATATTCAATTTGTGATTTCATTTCAAGTATCTTTTAAGTGAAGATGTTCTCTAAATTGTTGTTTAAGCAAGCATAACATAGGAATTATTTCTCTGTCTTTAAAATAATCTTCTGTGGACTAGGAGGTTTGAAAATCACAGAGTGAATATCTTTCTTCTTTGTTATTTTAGCTGCTGACATTTTTAATTCAATTTAGTAATGGCCTTATATTTTTAAAGTTAATGAAGTGGATTTCAAGTTCAGTTAGCAGTAATTTAAGATGACAATTCAATCATTAGTGAGGCTAATTATTAAATGGAAAACTCACTGTAATACTCAAGCTTGTAATGAAATAAAACCGTAGGTCCAAGTACATGCAAAAACTGTGAACTGGCTGATGTGTAGCTCTTTTAACGGAGTAGGGTCATAGTAATATTGAGAGATATCAATCTTGTACGCAGTATGATTTTCAGTGAGCTAATTTGGTTTTAAGTGATTTTTGCTATAGGGTACATGTGCTCGCCAGAGAGATGAAGAGAGACAGAGAGACAGAAAGAGAGAAATCACCCCCCAGGAGTGATGACCATGCTGCAATTCCTTTTCCTCCATTTACCTCTTGGGATCTTGGGCATGCGCACATATGTGCCCAGCATGAGTTTTAAGCTGCTAAGTCCAGGACCTGAACCATAGTCAACTACATGGGAGTCAAGGGACATAACCATTATGCAATCTGCTGGTCTCCAGTAGGCTAAATTTTAATATTTTGATTCCTTTTAATTATGATTTTATTTAGTTAAATCACATACCATATACAGCACTCTGTTTCACAGCATCTCCAGCAGTATTCCTAAATATAAATATATCCATTACTTATACCATTTATCATAAATGCACATGACAGGTGTTGTAATTGCCATGTTTATTATAATAAAAATAGAGTAGCAATGATGCTATAATAAATGCTCTCACAGCTTTATTTTGGTAAGCAAGTGTGTGTATTTCTTTTGAATATATATCTACAGCAACATTTGCTGGATCATAGGAATCTGTATTCAGCTTTAATAGTTAAGGCCAAACCATTTCCCAAAGGGATTGAGCCACCTAATAATCCCATCACCACTGTTTGAGAGAGTCTACTGTTCTGCCTTATTTTAATAGGTAGAGCTGGCAACAGTGACGTCTACCAATAGTAAAATGGATGAATAGTGGTGGTATCTCAGTGGGTCTGGGCTGCCATAACAAGCATACCTAGATGGTGGCCTTAACCACAACCATTTACTTCTGACAGTTCTGGAGGCTGGGAAATCCAAGATCAAGGTGCCTGGTGAGGGCCCATTTCCTGGTTCATGGACTTCTCACTGAGCCTAACATGGTGGAAGTGCCAAGGGAGTTCTCTGGTGTGGAGAGTAGTTGACTACTCTCCACACCTTGGGGGTCTCTTTTCTAAGGGCATGAATCTGACTCACCAGAGTTCATCACTTTCCAAATAGCCTACTTCTAATACCACCACACTGGGGTTAGGATTTCAACATATCAATTGTGAGAAGCACATGCAGTCTACAGACGATAGTGTATGCACGCAGTACACACAGCACTGAAAAGAAACTTTATGATTCAAGTAAAAATGTGTGACTCTTGAAGATACACTGTTAAATGAATAGAGCAAGACACAAGTAAAATGTGTCATATGGTTTCTATTTTTATAGACTTTATAAAAGACAGAATTGAGCTGTGTGTTAGAAGTTGGGTAGTTGTGAATTTTGGAGAGTAAAGTAGACTCAAGAATGGAAAGAAGCAAAAGGAGGTTTCTAAGTGCTGATAAGACTTTTTTTTTTTTTTAAATAGATTTTTGCTACATGGTGTGTGCGTTCACCAGAGAGACAGAGACAGACAGGTAGAAAGCAAAAAATCACCCACCAGAGGGGATCGCCATGCCACAATCCCTTCTCCTCCATTTTCCACTTGGGATCTTGGGTATGCATGCACCAGCGCCTGGCATGAGTTTCAAGCCACAGGGTCCAGGACTCGAACCACAGTCAGCCATATGGGAGACTCGCGACATAACCACTTCACCGTGTGCTGGTCCCCACCACTGTGCTTCTTGATCAAGATTTCTTTCCTTTGTGAATTTGTGTGAGGTATGTACTTATGTTCTACACACCTTTGTGTATGCTTGTTAAACTTCTATAAAGAGTGAAAGACAATTAGGCATTCAACTTAGAAAAATATTATCAAAATTTTTTGGCAGAAGGCAAACGTGCTTACCAGAAATGGGGAGGGAGTGGGAAAGGAATCCTCTGTGGGGAATGGCTGCACTGCAATCTTTTCTTCTCCACTTCTCTCTCTCTTCGGATTTTCGGCACACGTGCACACACGCCCAGTGTGTTTTACAAGTGGCCAGGTCTGGGACTTGAACCATGCAGTTGTCCTGTGGGACTCAGTCACCTTAACCACATACCACAGGCCCAGACAGTATTATTATTATTATTATTATTATTATTATTATTATTATTATTATTATTATTTTACTTTAGTTGTAATGTTAATTTGAATGAAACAGAATAGTTAAGGTAAACTATATTAAAAAAATGTCTTTGGCACCAGTAAAATTCCTTGATATACAGACTAGAAATTTTCTACCCTAATGGTATGTTTTATGCTCTTTATTTTTGTGATTTTTCTAAGGCTGTCTTTGTATTTATTTTAGGGAAGTTTTTGTTATATGGCTCATGCACTCTCCAGAAAGACAGAGAGAGACAGAGAGACAGAAAGCGAGAAATCACTCCCCAGACTCCCCATGCTGCAGTCCCTTCTCCTCCATTCTACGCTCAGGATCTTGGGCACGCACATGTGCCTGGCGTGAATTTAAGCCACCAGGTACAGGACTCAAACTGCGGTTGACCATGTGGAAGTCCAATGACATAGCCATTATGCCATCTGCTGTTCCCTGTCTCAGTATTTTTGCTCCTTTATCTCACATTCAACATTCTGCTTTATAATACATTTTAATTTATGACGATAATATACACATGTGGTCCATTTATTTCAAAACAGTTTTAACTCTTTCCTTATATAATTTTGTAAAATTCCAAAAAAATAAAAATAAAGAAAAACCACCCAAACACACTGGGATTTTGACTTTGTTTAACTTTACAAATTTTTTTTTTGGGGGGTACCACTATCTTTATACATTTTTTAAAAATCAAAGTCTATGTTGTATCTTCGCTTGTCTTCTCATGCCATTGACTGTTTGTCATTTTTTAAAAAACCCAGTTAAAATCACATCATTAACATAGGAATACATTTCTGTTATTAAATAATTGAGGCATCGTAAGGAAGTGTATAGTCCCAAATTCAGGTAAATCTCTTCCTCTTCCACAGGGTTCTTCTCAGTTATTGGTTTGGAGTGCACTCTCTGAACTTGTCTACGCATCAACACAAGTGTAAATACAGCCATGTAAGACCTGTGGCATCTCATTTTGTTTTCATTATTTTTTTGTCTACACAAAAAGTGTCACATAATACATATTTTTTGTATGTGTATTTGTTTCTGATATTTTTCTCTACCCAAGCATGGCTTAGAAATCTTTCCACGCTAAGACTCGATGATCCCCTTCATTCTCTTTAATAGCTTATTGGTACACAATGGAATGGGTGTGTTAGAAGTTGTTTGTCCACTCTACCAATGGACATGCAGATCGTTCCAGTTTTTTTTTTTTTAAATTATAAGCAGTGTTAAACCACATCCTTATACACATTTACTTCTGACACTTACGAGTTCTCTAAGTAGATTGTGAGATCTAAAGTTGACAGGAGTTTATGCAGATATTAAATCTTAATAAATTTTGCCTTATCTTCTCTGCAAATACTTTCCCTAATTAGCGTACTTGCTAAGAATGTATAAGCTTACTCATCTGTTTATTAAAAAACAGGGAAAATGGTAAAAATGGATAATTACAACTTTCGTAGAGTTTAAAACAGAATATGACCAAGTATATGAATAGTTGTAATATAAGGCAAGAAAAAATAATGAATTAAAGTTACCTTACCTTGGCAGTAGGATGCTGTATTACTTGGTGAATTCTTCCAGTCAAAATGAAGGGCTCATAAACACAATTGGTTGACTCACTGAATGGATTCACTTTTGAGGAATAGACTCACAGACACCAGAGTCACAAAGCCTGAAGCACACAACCAATTTATTAACGCACAGGAAATAAGGAAAA